TGTTGGGTCTAATTCTCGTCACTACACTGCACAACTTAAAATAATTACGTTTTTTGTCGGTAAAAACGTCCTGGTGACGTCACTTAAGCATTTTTCTTATACTGCGTGCGGTCGTTGCGCGTGCGCACAAAGGAATGAGACCGCTCGGACACCGAGCCCACAGCGTGGTAGGGGTGGGGTTGCCCGCTCTTTTGTTTTTTACTACTACTACGCTGAATATTGTGTGCGGATTGGGTTGTCGTACAGGGGTACTACATGGTAAAATAAATCTCGGAGGCGAAAGCAGGATAATATACTAAATTTGTAACTAGTAATTATTATACAGGTGATTTCTTTAAAGATTTTAATCAGTTTAAATTGTATAATGGAAATTAAATTAACTTTTTGTATTACTTGTGCACTGAAGCTTCTTAATACTTGTGTCCAAAGTAATATTTGTGTCTTCATTGCCTGAAATTAGAAAGTAACTGTTGACTACATAATATAAAAACTGAAATATGGGATATAATTAAAATTGTTTCTTGAGTTAAATGTGACAATATTTCCTTCAATGATTAGACAGAGTAATTGGAAAGGTTAACAAAAATATGTAGGACTAGATTTTATTATTATTTGTTCTTCTTTACCTTGTACATAAAATATCTTGATTATTGTGATGTGTTATTAAATATTATTTAAACAAATTATTACCTGCTTTAATATATGTAACTGTGCAAAGTTCACTAATATTATTATTATCTTCTTCGACACAATTTGTTTTGGCCGTGATCGTTAAGCCGTGTGGTGACGGCAGAGCAGAATACATTTGTCACCAACCCCTACTCTTCCCGCGGGTGTCGTAAGAGGCGACTTAGGGACTACACATTAAACAGAGAATGGGCAGCAGCGCTCTCTGAAAAACATCAATCTTTTAAACTGCAATCTCCAACCCGCCTGCCTAGCGTGGAGATTATGGCAAAACCCTCCACTATAGTGGAGGAGGCTCATAGTCCAGCAGTGGACTGTAAAGGGCTGTTGATGATGAATTACCAAGATCAGTGTTCATTATTATAACATTAGATGACATGTTCTCTTCTGTTTGGTCACATGTATTTTGGTTTTCTGTATCTCCTGAAAAATAAATATATGGCTTTAGGATTAAATGGTTTTTTTTTTCATAAATCTAATAATGGCTTAAGAGATTAGATTATTTTTATTGGTAATGAGCAATCTCACAGAAAACTTGTTACTTTATTTTATACTTATTAGTTAGGTAAAGTTACAATAATACTAAATAAATATACTATAGGAGCAATGAAAATCATTTGGAACAGCTAGTTAATAGTTTACTACAAGGAAGTAAACACTAACCAAAATAAAATGCAGCATCATCATATGGGTTAGACAATGGTTTGATTTGACAACCAGCCATGGCTAAAATCTGTTGGTCTTGCTCTGTGAGAGTGCTTTTGTAGGTTCCACCACCCGTGCGATTAATTTCTTTCTATAAAATAAATAAATTGTATTTAAATAGTATTTTAGTCAGGTTAAAGTATATTATGATTTGAACTTACCTTGTCAAGAGATGCCTTCTTTTGAATTTCTCTAGTTTTTTCATAAAACTGAAGACGCTAAAAATAAAGGACTTTTTTAATATGTTATATTCATTTTTTTAACTTATTCTATTCTAAAAATAATGATAAATAGATGATATTACATTGGCTTTGGCAATATTTTTCTTAGACCTCTGTTTGAGATTTTCATAGAGGTGGCGTAGTTGTTGCCATGTCCTACAGCAGTGTTGGCAAAAAGTTAATCTGATTAATGATTAAAAATTAATGATTAAAATCATAATCAAATTTTTTTGATTATGATTAGTTAATCATTAATCAAAAATTTTGATTAAGATTAATTAATCATAATCATTAATCGTTAATTTGATTATTTGATTAACTATCTACTATTTTCATAGGAAAAGGGTTGGAAGTGTATGAAAAGGTACCCGCGACTTATAAAATATCTAGCAAAGGGGGGATCTAATATCCTCCTACGGGAGGTCGGAAGACTGCACCGGAAGTTTCAGCGAGGGAAGGGGGCGGGGGGCAGTCTAGGTTACCTTATATTTATCTAGGTATGACCTGTCATAGAATTGTAGCCTAAAACCAAACATCTAATATTAGAATTCAATGTTTTAACATTGTTTTCGATAGAACATTTAAGAAGTTAATCAAGTTAATTAAATTAATGATTATTGATTAATGATTAACAAATTAATCATGATTATGATTACTTTTTTAATCATGATTATTTTAATCAGGATTAATTTAATCATGATTAAAATTAATCAAATTAATTAATTGATTAAAAAATTAATTGATTAGTGCCAACACTGTCCTACAGCCACTCATAGCAACAGCATTATATTTCTCACAAATACAATCCCAAGCTTCGCGCTTTTTAATTATCATTTGCGCATTTGTTTCTTTATTTTCTATAATATGCTGATAACTGAAAATAAAGGTTGTCAATAAGAAATTTAAGTACAGAAATGTACGCATAAGTTGTGACTTATGTTTTATTTACTCTTGGTATGGGCCAAGAACAATCAAAACACCTGCCAAAAGTGTGTTTAGCAATTAATATAAGTACAAGATCGCAACATTGTTCAATCATGTTTAGATTTTATTGTTTACTCACCTCTTGATTATATCTAACAGCAATTCCTTTTCAGATGCTGTGTAATTTAAACCGCGTTTCTTTTTATTATCTTCCATTCTTACTAATCTTTAATAAATAAACTTAATAAAACAATTCAAATTGTTGCGCGCGGGACGCTCTGTCAACAATGTATTTGAATGTCAATTGTGGTAACGTTTCGTTCCACGATCACCGCCTAATCGATTTCAACATAAAAAGTATCACTTTTTAAATAAAATAAAAATACAAGCATTCATTTCATGTAATAAAACGGGCTTTAAATTAAGGAAACTAAAAATATACTGTTCTATATGAGTTGATAGAGTATATTTGCATAAAAGACAATACTTAACCAAACGATGCTGCGTGTAATGGATACGCAACATAAAGCCATCATTTGTGTAATTGAAAACATACTTTTTTTGGTAAATGTTGCCATTATGCAAACATTTGAGAGCTGCTTAGCTGATCACGGCTTCAAATCCGTTGAGTGGCGTTTGAGAATACCATTTAAAATTGAAGGATACTTAAATTTAGGAGCCCGTCAGCTGAGTGACAGATTTGAGTAGTGTTTCAGTATTCGGCCGATATCCTGATAAAATAAAAACAGTAATAATGCTAAATAACAGGCAACACTAAAACAATACATAAAATACACAAAAAAGGCCAAAAAATAATAAAAAATGATACTTTTTAAAAAAAATCTGCTTTTAAATTCGTGTTTTTTTGGTTATTTGATAAATTTCTCCAAAAAATGCCCCTATAACCGGCGGTTTTTATTACTTTGTATTATTCTCTATCGTATTACCTTCGTAAAACCAAAAATCACATGTCTCTATCCCTATCACAACGTTTGCAATGATCGTTTGAACTAAGCCTCTCCGGGCGCGCCATTCAAAGCTTCGTTAACAACAAAACTGAAAATGGCTCTAGATTTGTAATTTTGATAAAGACAAGTTAGATTTCAAATAAAAACAAAAGATTTCGAAGTAAAATAAGCATTTTAGTTAAAATTAAAATTGTCTCTACCTGTAGCGGGGAATAATGTTGTGGCAGACCGTTATTCAAACGATCATAGCAAATGTTGTGATAGGGATAGAGACATGTGATTTTTGGTTTTACGAAGGTAATACGATAGAAAATAATACAAAGTAATAAAAACCGCCGGTTGTAGGGGCATTTTTTGGAGAAATTTATCAAATAACCAAAAAAACACGAATTTAAAAGCAGATTTTTTTCAAAAAGTATCATTTTTTATTATTTTTTGGCCTTTTTTGTGTATTTTATGTATTTTTTTAGTATTTCCTGTTATTTAGCATTATTACTGTTTTTATTTTATCAGGATATACCGCTTAGTTTAAAAGTTATTACGTTTTCTTTACAATAAGTAATTGGAAGAAAAAACATTCTATAAAAAATTTAAAAAAAAATCTCAAAAATTTTTTGACCTCTTTTTTGTCGATAAAAATAGGTCTAGTTTCATCTATTTTCATATGTACACTTTAACGTGACTCACACTGTATAAGGTTGCTTTCCAGGTCCAGTACATTCGTGAATTGATCTCGACTAAATGTGATGAATTCAAGACTTTTAAACAAAGAAAACAAGCCATAGTATGCTCATGAAGGCTATTTATTACTTTACAAGTACTATTAGGGATGATGACTAGGTAATGAAATCGAAATTCTATTTAGTCCGTCAGACAGATAATTAGAAAATATTAGACTCATATTTTTTTCCATAATCGAATAATTACAGTGTTATATTGAGTTGAAATGTCGCGTGACGTCACTTTTGAATAAAAATTCTACTCAAGCGTGACGTGTCGCGCCATTTCTACTCGATGTAGCACTGTTATTATTTAATTATGAAAGAAAATAAAAAATATGAGTCTAATATTTTCTAATTATCTGTCTGACGGACAAATAATTGAAATTTTGTCATCTAGCCTTTACTTTTAGCTGTAATTTAAATTTGGGTTTCTTGTAAAGATATAAATTCCTTAGAGAAATTCTCAAAAAATTACAAATCCTTCTCTTGAGCATACTGGGGCTCTTCTCTTTATGCAAAATTTATCATAACCAAACGAATTCAATATGCGTCAGCAGAGAACCAGGAAAGCTGTCTTAATGTTTTGCTGTAATTGTATTTTTTTGTTCAAAATTTATGGTGATAAGTTTTGTTTAAAATTATTAGTTTTGCCATAATTTTCCTGCAAAATTGTAAAAAAAAACAATAAACTTGTTATTTTTCGTATGCAAGCAAATTTATTATTTCTACCTCAACCAAATATAGTTTTTACACTGTTAAATATCTTTGTGCAAATTCTCTAAACAACAAAAGCCTGGAAATAATAAACAATACATTATTTACATGTATAGTTTTAATAATACATTTGAATAAATCACTTTATCAATGGGTGTATAAACCAAAAAAAATTCATCTAATGGTCTTTAAGCCATCAATTTCAGTCTCGTGTTTACTAAAAAATCAAATACGACGTAAAGAGTTATTTTTAGGTCCAATATAATGGGTCGTATAAACCACCCAGTGCCTTTTTTAAGGACGTAACTCCAAGCTAACTTTAAAACTACTGAAGATGCCCATTTTTTAAATATAGACTATACTATACTAGACTAGACTTTTACATCGCAAGAATTGAAAAATGTTTTCTCTTGGTCATTTTTTTATAACTTCTCAAATAAAAAAGTTACGATTTTTTTATTTAAAAAAAAAAACGTTTTTTGGCTCTCCTGAAAAGTAGGGTTTTGGTTTATACGACAATTGAACCTGAAGGTATCGAGATAGTAAATCCACCTCTTAAATTACTCATCGATACCGGCGCAAATCAATCATTTATTAGCCCCGAAGCCGTCGAAAGATTTTACTCAAATATTCCATGTAACTATGACCCCTTTGAGGTAACTAATATTCATGCCACTTCAAGGAATGATTATTCAATAACAATACCTTGTTTTCGGGAGTTTAATGAACAGGAAGACATCACTCTGTTCATATATAAATTTCATAATTATTTTGACGGGTTGATTGGTTATGATTTATTAGAAAAACTAGAATCTAGTATTGATTTAAAGAACAAGGTCTTGGTTACACGACAATCTCATACGCCCTTATTAATGTATGACTCTCGTAACTGCAATCTTTACGAAAATATCATCCCAGCGAAGTCATCTAAATTACTACGCATACCGGTTAACTTTTATGACGGAGATGCATTTATATCAGAGCAGACTATCTCAAATTGTAAAATAAAATATTGCATAACCACAGTTATGAATAGTCGCGGCGTTGTCGAAGTTTTTAACCCGACTAAACATGACATAGTTTTTTCAATGGATAGACCTGTTAGTGCAGAACTGTTTAATGTTCAGTGCACGCGCACCGAACATTCACCCGATCGCGTAAAAGAAGTACCTACTATCGCGCTTACGTACAGACCATTTGAATCCTGAAGAACGAGCTAACTTAGAGTCGCTTTGCGCTCGATATGCCGATGTCTTTTATGTTGATGGTGAGCCCTTAACTTTCACTAATAAGATCAAGCACAGCATCCGTACTACAGATGAAATACCAGTATACACTAAGACTTATCGTTATCCTTTCATTCATAGACAGGAAGTTCAGGATCAAATATCTAAGATGCTGGATCAAGGCATCATTCAACCCTCACAATCAGCATGGAGTTCACCTATTTGGGTGGTTCCCAAGAAAACTGACGCATCTGGGAAAACCAAATGGCGTATTGTTGTAGATTTCAGAAAACTGAACGAAAAAACCATAGATGATAAATATCCCATCCCAAATATTGCTGACGTCCTGGATAAACTGGGTAACTGCCACTATTTCACTACCCTGGATTTAGCCAGTGGATTTTATCAGGTTGAGATGAACCCAGAGGATATTCCCAAAACAGCCTTTAATGTCGAGCATGGGCACTTTGAATTTTTGCGCATGCCCATGGGACTTAAGAATTCTCCATCTACTTTCCAACGGGTGATGGATAATGTCCTCAGGGACCTCCAAAACAAGATATGCCTGGTTTATTTTGATGACATAATTATTTTCAGTGTATCCCTACAGGAACACATGGATAATCTAGAGAAAGTGTTCAAAAGATTAAGAGATTCGAACTTCAAAATTCAAATGGACAAGTCGGAATTTTTAAAATTAGAAACAGCTTACTTAGGACATATAATTAGTAAAGATGGGATCAAACCCAACCTAGATTCCTAGGACTGTTAGGCTATTATAGGAAATTTATACCAGATTTTGCTCGTGTAACTAAACCAATGACACAATGTTTAAAAAAGGGTTCGAAAATAACATACAACGACGTAAATTACATTAACTGTTTCGAGACATGCAAGAAACTGTTGACTAACGATCCAATTTTACAGTATCCCGACTTTGACAAAGACTTTATTCTCACCACTGACGCGTCCAACTTCGCTATAGGAGCCGTACTTTCTCAAGGCACTATAGGCAGTGACAAACCGATAGCTTATGCGTCGCGAACACTTAACTCTAGTGAAATAAATTACAGCACGATAGAAAAAGAGCTCTTAGCCATAGTTTGGGCTACTAAATATTTCAGGCCATATTTATTCGGTAGAAAATTTAAAATTGTCACTGATCATAAACCACTACAGTGGGTATTGAATCTTAAAGAACCCAATTCCAGATTGACACGATGGAGATTAAAGTTGAGTGAGTACAATTTCACTACGGTGTACAAGCAAGGCAAACATAATACCAATGCTGACGCTTTATCTCGAATCAAAATAAATAATGAAGATATCAGTTCTATTGTAGTCAATACCTCAGAAAAGCCACCATCCTTGGCTAGTTTTTCCACTGAAACAGCTCACACAAGTGCTAAACACCCTATTTTAGAGATTCCAATATCCGACGACCCTCTTAATAAATTTAACCGTCAAATATGTTTTGTAATAGTAGGTGACATTAAAAAACGGCCGACCGTGACTAAACCTTTCGAGACTCATACTAGAACGACTATTCAATTATCAGAATCCCAGCTCGAAGATGATGTTATAAC